ATCCATTCGAAAAATCAATATTGATATGTCGTTGCTAAACAACATTTTAATCGCAAATACTATAGGCTCTTTGCTTGTCATTTTTTTTGATCGTTTAATATGATCTACTTTCACAAAAGAAGTAGATAGCGCTCATCACTTGAAACTCCGATTGAATGATTTTTTAATGTCTCATTGGGTTAACAAGATTTAATTATTTTAAGTTTGATTTTCTACAAAAATATAGAATTTAAATACGCTTGACAGAGAGAGAACGATAAGCTATATGTGTGATTCTTTCTATAGAATAATCTTCCAGTATAGGAAAAACTTATTCTGAAATATTTTCAAGGAAAAAAGAATGATCCATTCAAAGAATTTTGCTCGATACTTTCGAAATCATTTCATATTCTAGCTATACTCGAGAGAGAAAGAGAGAGAGATCTCCTTTTATTCTTACTCTTTCTCTTCTATTTAATATTCTTGTAGATGCTAAATGGACACAGAACGGCGTGACTGTTGCTGGAGGTGACGGGTATGGGGATGCCACTAATAAACTCTGGGGCCCTTTTGGTATCTTCGTTGATGATGATGATCAAATAGTGGTTATTGCTGACTTCGGGAATCATCGTATCATGCAATGGAAGAACAGTGATACAACGAATGGACAAGTTGTTGCTGGTGGCAACGGTGCAGGAAAGGGATTGCACCAATTGTATTGGCCAACTGATGTATTAATTGACAACGAGACGGATAGTCTCATTATTTGTGATCGAGGGAATCGACGAGTTGTACAATGGTCTCGTCTTAGTAGCACAACACAAGGTGAAATACTCATTGACAACATCGACTGTTGGGGATTAGCAATGGGTGAGCAGAGATATCTCCACGTTTCTGACTGGGAAAAAGATGAAGTAAGACGATATCAATTGGGTGAGAAGAATGGCACTCGCGTAGCTGGTGGAAATGGCAAAGGTGATGGTCTCAATCAACTCAACTTTCCGAGATATCTCTTTGTTGATCAAGATCATTCAGTGTACGTATCAGACAACGAGAATCATCGTGTAACGAAATGGGGAAAAGGTGCAAAAGAAGGTATTGTGGTTGCTGGAGGGCAAAGTAAAGGGAGTGCTCTGACACAATCGTCTAATCCTAATGGAATCTTCGTTGATACGTTGGGTACAGTCTATGTAGCCGACTGGGGGAATCATCGTGTAATGCGTTGGACTCAAGGAGCAAAACAAGGCACTGTAATTGTGGGTGGAAATGGCAGTGGAGAGGGAGCAAATCAGTTCAACTCCCTCGATGGTTTGTCTTTCGATCGATATGGTAATCTCTATGTCGCCGATCGCGATAATCATCGTGTTCAACGATTTTCTATCGAAAAAGACTTGTGAATTGTTTTTTCTTTGTTCTTTTCTTTTTCTATACTTTGAAATAAATGAACAAGAAAAAGAAATTTTCTTTTACTCTCTGGCTTCAAAGAAAAGAAAAAAGCTAAAATATAAGATTACATCATATGTTTCTTTTCTTCTTCTTTTATTTATTTGTTAAATGAAAAAAATGAATTAAACAAAATAATTTGTTGTTTTCACAAAACATTAGGATTAAAATGAAAAGAAAAAGATTTGTATTATTTTCAAAATATTTATTATTAAAATCAAAAAAAAACATTTGAGGTTTTACAGTATTTATGATTTGAATCAAAAAAAATTTGAGCTATTTAAAAATATTTATTTCAAAAATTAAAAAGAACCAAAAGTTACAAAAAAGTGAAAATTATCTTCGGCAACCAACAGTCTGCCATATCATCAGGTTTAGCTGTATCTTTATTAACACTTGCAATACAGATAATATCGCATAGACCGGCTAAGATTTCTTTCATTGTTTCTGATCGCATTATTTCATGGGCAGCCACACTCTAAATAAAAAGCGTTTTCCCGGAAACCGAAATCTCTTCGCAAACCCTTTTGGAAACTTACAAACGTATCTGGAAAGGTTTTCGGCTCTAAGTCGAGTTTTTGAAATCACCTTCCAGGTTTCCGAATTCCCCGAAACTGTTCGGTTATCGAGAATTCTGATAGGAAACTTTTAACAGTTTTCTCAGAAACCATCAAACAATTTTCGAAACCCAAAAGTTATCCTCGGAAAGTGTTTTTGTTTTGACAACCTTCTCGGAAACTTACAGCGTATCGTCAGCAACCTTTTGGTTTTCGACGACTTTTTTTCGGGAATCTTTTGGGTTTCTGGGGATCGGAAACGTTGAAAGCGTATGCCAGAATACTAGCTTGGTTTCCGAACATATCTCGAAAACCCTTCGAGATTTCCAAGGTATAAGAAACCTATGAGTTTTCGAGAAAATGTCTCGGAAACCCATTAAACATAGTGGAAAATCGAACCAGTATTAAAATTTCATCTTGCTCATTTTCACGTTGCCATTGTATAATTTACATTTTTAGGAGTTAATCGGCAGCTATAACAGAAATTGTCTTCACTCAAAAACAAAAAGTATCATATGAAACTATTTATTGTTCTAGCCAAGATACTGAACCTTTTAAGGTTTCACTTGTTTATTAATAAACCATGAAGGTTTTTAGCTAGTTTGAAGAACCATCTCAGATTCTCAATACTTACGAGTGTTTGGAAAGGTTCCGTCCTGCACCATTTTTTTTTGTTAAACCATTTCTCCAAAGATGGTTCTGACTTGAAGCAAGATACGATACTTTCCGAACGTCATTTAAGTAATATACATCACGCATAGGTTACCGAGGTGTAGGAATCAAACTCCTGTAACACTTTTCCGATCTGAGCTCCCTTTGGTCAGAAATTAGGTGCATTGAAAATTCCGTGGTTGCAGAGTTAGACTTTTTATTTGAACTCCGATCAGAATTCTGATTGAAGTTTGAAATAGGTTATCGTTGTCGAGGAATCCGAATCCGTCATCACTTTTCAATCCGAGCTCAATTCTGATCGAAGTTTGAAATAAGTTATCGAGACCCAGGAATCCAAATCCGGCATCATCGATACCGAGCCTGAGGATCAGAGTCGGATTGATGGATATGGGTAGGTGCTTTTTAATAATCAATTCTATGGTAAGTTATAACTTATACAATGCGCTTATTATTTTATAAATTTTCATATATCACAATTATCAATAGAAAGTAATGCCAATGAGGTAAAATGAAGTCAACATTTTCTTTATTTAGGTATGTAGCAATAATCAATTGAAATGCAGGTTCAATATGATAAAATAAATTAATGTTTTTTTTCTATTTTAGGTATATGTGAATAATTGATCTCATGCGAAGTTCAATCTTACACTATCAGTCACTCCTCTTGTTTTTTGTTTAGGATCTTCTCAACAACAAGTGACGGCGATTGCCCTTTCGTGCGAATAAAGAAGAAAGGGCTGGCTCGTATTCTGCATACAACAAATCAAGGTAAATATAACACATACGGTTTTAGTGGTTTAGCATAGAAATAAAGATTGAGGATACGATTTATGTTAAGGTTATAATTAAGGGCTAAGGATAGAAATAGTGGTTAATGATAGAATTAAGTGTTAAGGATAGAATTTAGGCTAAGGTTATAATTCAGGGTTAAGGATAGAAATAAAAGGTTAAGTTTGAAATTAACGGCTAAATATAGCATTAGTGGCGAGTACTAGACTGATTGAGTGTGGCGGACTACATTTTACCACTCTAGAACCATTTTTGGAAGAAAAGGGAAGAGGTTCCAGCTAGAACCAGCTTTTGCTTGAACCTTAAATGGTTCTGAAAATGGTACCCAAATGTAGAACCTCAAAAGATTCCCGAAGTAGCGGAAACCTTCAATAAGTTTTCGGGGTCGCAGCTTTCTCGATTGCTTGTGAGGGTTTCAGATAAGTTTCCGAATGCTCGGAAACCCATTCCCCGAAACCTATAAAGGGTTTCATATAGTGACAAACCCGGAAGCCGTCTATTCGTTTCCCAGAAAACGGATTTTATTTAGAGTGTAGTAAGAAGATTAAAAACAGGGGTTACACGGTGGATGTGAACATCCAGTCCGACAGTGTTCGAGATATGACGGGCATCCTGACGAGAGACTAGGATACTGAAATGGACTGCCGTAAGTATATGTAGTCTAAGCTTATATATTGACTCGCATCCATGCATAGAAAATGAGAAGCAAACCGACGTAAACGGTATTGACTAGTCTGAAGCATCTTTTGGACACCTCATGACTAGTCCGTTTTTAAGAAGTGTTTATTTGACTCAATGCTTATCGAATTTTTTCTAGTTAGAAGGACAATTAGAGAGTCTGCTGTAATCAATAGTGCATTCGAAAAGATTTAATATATTGTGTGCATCCCTGTCTTGATATATTTTATTTTATTTTGCATTAGCATATGCTAAAAGTTTAAGAGTGTATCAAAGCATAAAATAGTAGGGGTTAGCACTAACAACAAAATTCATCTCGTATCTAGGAGTGCTATTTTATATTTTTTTTCAAAATGTGAGATGTACTAAATTTTAAAAAACTGAGAAGCACATAAAT